TACTAGAACAGCCCCTCGGGTTTCTGGGCCATCGCAGTCATCGAGGCCATCAAGCTAGGCACAAGGAGATGATAATATTATAACAATTATGTTTGATAATATGATGGTCATAAATATGACTGACGATTGAGTAGTTTAGAATTCGATTCTGCAGTCGATGAAAGAATAAGAGTTCAATTTAACAGCGGTAAAATCACTTTGGAAAATGGGTTGATGTGTAAGTAAGCACAAGATGTCTTACTTTTAAATAATGTTTGTTGTTTTATACTCACAGATTGTTCCCTCTCATACTCCGATTCAAAATCATCAGCATCGTTGACACTGAGACTTGAAGCATGGAGTCTACCAGAGCCAGCAGTTGATGGAGCCACGCTTCCATCAGACTGGGTCCTGGTGAGAGGTGCCTGGGGAACTTTACTGGTGCGGGCCTTTGCTGCTCGAAGAAGAGCTGATGTGGAGGCTTCTGGAGCAATTCCACGTGACTTCTCCCATTCATGTAGTTTGCGGGTGAATGATCGAGATATTCCTGCAATTGAAAAAAAATCTGTTTTATTACGAGAATGTTTATTTTTGGTAGATTTATCATGTTAGTATTATGCGTGAAATTTAAGGTCTTGAGGCTTGAGGTCTTTTATTCCATAATTTTACTTGCAGGTTCTGAGTATGGGTTGCGTTTTTCAATGGGCATCATTTATTGAATAGGTAAATGCATAAGTCCGGAATGATACCCCCTTAATACGGATTCTCACGAACAATTATAGTTGCATGCATTGCATTACCTTGAAACTTAAAGAGTCCCGTAGATGTTTGTACCAAAACCTCATCAGGCTTAGCTTCCTCTTCCCAGGCTGGTACCGAGTTTGTCTCCTTCATGCGTTTCCATTCGTCTGTGAAAATATACGACGTTTACCTTCTTGGATATTTTTCTAGGTCATTAATTGGTAAACAGCAATTTTCATATCGTTTTCCACAAGGTCTTAGGTACCTATAAATTCTTATTATCATACATAATTAAGCAAATTTAAATTAACGCTTTAATTAATTTGAATTATTTTACCCCATCTCTTAAGGAAATCCTCACTAAGATCTTGTCTAGCTGGTATGGGTAATGGCTGCTTGACTCCCTTCTTCAGCTGCCATTCAGCCAGTTTCTTACGGAAGTCTGCCGACAACTGTTCCTCGGTTGCCACTGGGCGGGCAGCTAGAATAAACATTTACATCACACCTGTAGTTAACCAAGTTGTTTGGTATACAAAAAAACTTTAGGGTATGGGGACAATAGCTATGGTTATACTAAATTAGACTCGGAAACCAATCAATAATGTTTTCTTGCCTGAAAAATGGTACGCTAAATAACTTGCTCGGCTAGCTACGCAATGTCTACAATTTAATTCTGTTTTCGTAAAGTTTCATTTATATTCTTTACTTAAAGACTCTCTGAAAAGTATTTTGACACTAGTATTCTATTTTAGACCCTCACCGGCATATAATTTCCCTCGTCTATCAGAAAACTCTCTTCTTAGCTTGGACTGGAGTGCTGCGTAGTCTCTTGCTATTTCCTCTCGAACTCCACTCGCCTCGCAGCCGCTGCTGAGACCCTCTGTTTCTGGAAAACATTCATCAATATTAATACCTATTTATCGACATCCTCATCTTGTTGTATTTGAGCTACAAGCTGCAGCTACTTCTGTACATTGACCTGCATCAATGATGTTCAAAGTGTCGTTTAATAGTTTATTTAAAATAAATGGTCACTGGTAAGTAGTCAGTTTCAGACCTTTCCCATGACTTTTATCAGATTTCTTCATCAAACTTTACTATGTGTAACATGAATAATTTACCTTGAATTAACTGAAAAAAGCTCTACTAGTTTTATAGTCGCTATAGGATATGCTGCACGACGTGGCTCACGTTGCTCTTACTAGTAGGTAGAGCTTTTTTCAGTTATTTGAGAAATTCGTTATTGTCATTTAGTAAATTTCACGATAGTTTTTGTAAAACAATGATCGAGTGCATATGCTTTATAATAAAGAGGCTGGTTTTAAGATCAAGAACAATTATTAAAAAATCTTCTACTTGTCTTTATCTGTCTTTGCATTTGACAAATTTAAATGTCAAAATAAAAATGTGTACGTAACTGATATAGTCTTGTTTCGTTAACAAAATAATAATAGTAAATACTTTCACAATTAACATGCGAGTACGTTGGTAAAGAAACCGGAGCACACAAGACCATGTAGGTATTGGAAATGTTATAAAGTTGCAATATAACAAAAATATGCAAGCCTTTCTATCGTGGTAATTCGAGACACAATCGGTGTGCGACTGTGCGAACGCCGGCGTTCGCTTGCGGTTTGATGAATTGAGATTAATATTGGATAACACAAATTATTGTATAGCTTAAGGCGTTTCGTGTAGCTACTCATGTATGTCATGTCACTTTTCCAACTTGGTGGTTGCTCATTCATTTACGACAGAAAATCCAAGTGGATCAAAACGTGCTGTTGCTGATTTCAAAATATTTTCTTTGCAGGTGGCAGCCGGCACCAGACAAATGGTTACTGGCTACCTTATCCTTGCAATAGTCACATTCATCATATACAGTGTGGTTGGTATAATTCGAATGCCCTTTATTCTTAAAATTAACCAAATTAAACAAACTAAATCCGGAGATTTAGAGATTTTATATAAGGATAAATGTAGGGAGGATAGAATCCTTCCTACCAATGTTTATAGTGTTATAGATGTGAAAGTTCTAATGTATCTATGTATGTTTTCTTTCACAAAAATATGGTTGTATCCAATTGGTTGAAAATCGGTATGTAAGTAGATAGATGAAAGTTGCCTTAAAACCTGCGCGTAAAGGCGCCGGCGTAAATACATAGGTATATCCTCCGGCAGGTATGGCGAGGTGACTGCCGTTTAGCGTGCTATCCCGAAGTTTTCGAAGATGGTGGTGTTGGTGGCCGAAGTGGTATCACCGGACTACGGCGGCGCCGAAGCCATCCACACGATGACTGCGTTTGCGAGTCCTGCCCTTGTGGAATTGTTGCAGAAATTGTCAAGTATGCCATAAAATTGTCTTTTACTATGAATATGTACTTTGCCAGACTTCGTGGCAAGGTAAATAATGAGACTGTAGATGGTTAAGGTCTGTTTATTACTTTAATTGCTGGTGCTTATATACTAAGAAGATGCGTGAGATTTTCAGATTTAGCTATCCTAACAAACGTGCAACAATTAACATGTATGTCTTATCTCTATCGTATCTAAGTAATGTAGCGACGTGATAGTGCCGCTACATATACTCCCCCCTTTTAAAAATAATTAACATATAAATTGAAAAAAATTAGTATGTACCTAATTATATAATAACTTAACCTTGCTGATAAATTACATCCTATGCGTAATGTAATGTCATTGTTGCTAATTCGAAGGAAATAAAAACTGCTGCCTTTGTTGTGACGGCGGCGGCAGTCGATGAACTATCCACTTTTACTCGTGTCAGCAAGTGACGAATCGTACTGTCGGCTTAACCGCCCGTCCTGACTTCGTGATGTACGTGTTCCGCCCGTTGTGATTATTTTCTGAATTTGGCACGTTCGTTCCACTATTGAAGACAAATGCAGGTTTTAATCGGTCTTGCACGTGCTGATACCGGTGGTCCTTTAGTGATAATATGATGCTTAATCTTGTGTTTTGGAGTAGTGTGGAGGGAGGCTGGTTTCGTAATATCCTCGTATTCATTTAATAGTTGAGTAATGCGTGGATTCGTCTCAATGTTAATAGTGCGGATTGTTTGCTGCGTCGATTTGATCAGGGTTGCGGGCGTTGTCAGCTCAGTTACCCTATCTATGAGTTTTCGACCAGCTATATCGACTAATAGCTTATAATGCTCAAAAAAATCTGCTCCAATAATCGGTTGTGTTACATCGGCGATGACAAAGTTCCATACAAAGTTTCTTCGTAGCCCGAAGTTTAAAGAGTGTGTTTTTTCACCATATGTCTTAATTTTTGTACCATTGGCGGCATAAAGTATACATTGTTCATCTTGTATTAGTGAATGTCTCTGTGGCTTGCTAATAACTGAAATATTTGCTCCCGTGTCAATCAAAAATCTCATACCACTTTTTCGGTCGGTAATAGTGAGGCGGTTGGACGGGTGAATAGCACAGAGTTCCGCCGTTGTCCGTGCTTCAATTAGTTTCCCTGTTTCCTTGAGTTGAGATCCTGTTTCCAATCACAAGGTTGAACACACTTTTGTGCATATTTTTTAAATCTTCCATGGTAAAAACAAAAGTGCCTTCTTTCTCTTGAACTCGACTGTGGTAGGAAATGCCGACGATTGGAATAACTTTGAGTGCTGCGTCGATAGTTTTTTTGACCTTGCTGAATTGCATTTAGTTCCAATTGCATTTCTGCTAACTGTGCTAGTATGCATGACATTGTATCGTCGCCAGATTTGTTTCCGTTTACAGCTGACACCTCTGTACGTGTTGAATTTATTAATATCTTGTCCGCGATCTGGCTCATCTTGTTCACATCTATGTCTTCTGTGACTGCTAGAACCGAAGTCACTGATGGTGGCAGAAGCCTCAACCATAGAAGTTTGATGGTTTCGTCGCTGATATTTCCGTTACTCAGGGTCCGCATCTTGCGCAGAAGATGTGATGGTTTCTGGTCGCCGAGATCCATTTCAGACAATAATTTTTGGAGCTGACGTTGGTCTGATTCCTCATAGCAACTGATTAGGCGTTCTTTGATAGCCTTGTACTTTTCTATTGGCGGTGGGCAAGTAATGAGGTCACTAACCTGTATTATTTCTTCTTTTGGCAGTTTTGCAATGACCGTATAGTACTTGTAATCGTCTCCTTGCTTCTGTGGTGCTACTATGGCTTCTAGTTGCTTAAACCATAATCTGGGTTGGTCCCTCCAAAATTCCGGCTGATATCTCCAAGGCTTCTTGTTGGCTGCTGCTTGATTTGCAGGGTGAATGAGTCATGTTGATTGTTCTTCGTCGGGGTCACCAATTTGCCAGACTTCGTGGCAAGGTAAATAATGAGACTGTAGATGGTTAAGGTCTGTTTATTACTTTAATTGCTGGTGCTTATATACTAAGAAGATGCGTGAGATTTTCAGATTTAGCTATCCTAACAAACGTGCAACAATTAACATGTATGTCTTATCTCTATCGTATCTAAGTAATGTAGCGACGTGATAGTGCCGCTACATGTACCATACCGTAAGCAAACACTTGCCTGCCTAGTGACCCAGCTACTGCGGCAACTTTGATCCAGTATAAGCAACGCAAAGAACTCGTCAGTTGCAAAATTTTTACTTGGTTTTCAATTTCTGTCATAAATCATAATACATATACATCCACAGGTCATGCAGACCAATTACACAAACATACAACAGTTCCGTGGACGCAGCGACTCAACATTACCAGAACTTCGCAAATGTGGTAAGAAGTAATGTTCTTTTTAAAAACTCCTCAAAAATACTTTTACATTTCATTCATCATTTTCATAGTTGATAGCCACAAAGAGTCATGTTCCACCTTGAACCAAAAATTCACCGACAAATTCAATATTTTTTTTTTAATTTGATTCCTCTTTTAAAGTCTAGACAATTTTAATGAAATGAGAGATTCGTGCACGTCTGTAGTATCACTGCCACCGCCATCTAGTGTTCGATATAGGAAATTTGGAATATTTGGAAGCGATCCAACTAAAGCGTTTGCTAATCTAAATGACCGGAGTTTAGAGTTCTCTGTGATATATTCCTGTTTACCTATTATCTATTGGTTATCTCCTGTACGTCTGTTAAGATATTTGTAGAATTGCTTTTATTTTTAATTAGAATACTATCCGTTGCAAAATGTAGATTTAGATTTTATTACGTATTTTTAGATACTGTGTCTACTGTTCTTGTTGTTTGTTTTAATTTTACGTCTGGTTCGTTGGTTAGTTTTCCATTCGCATTGGATTTTGTTTTTTCATTTGTTAGAGCTATTACTAGGGGTGCATTAATCTGAGGAGACATAGAGGTAACAGTTTTTGTAAGACCAATGCTCGGTATCGGTGACGGGCTATCTAGCCGTGTACGATCTTTGCTAAAACTGGATCCTGTCAAAATGCACTTGTCTAAGACCTTTTTCTTTATTTCATTTGTCATCTGTTTGTGGAATAACGAGTGATATTATTCACTCCTTCATTAGTCTAATGAAATCGTGAATGTCCCCGGGCTCAAAATCCTGAGTCCGGAAAATATGATAGATTTTTTCCATTTGTCGGTTCTCAGTCAGACACAGATGTTTTCCACCTTGCGAACCAAAGTTTAGGCCTATACTTTTTGTTAAATTTATGTACGTATATGACCGAAATGTTATGTTTAATATGTATTTTTTCAGCTTCAAACTGCAGGCAACCATTTGGCTACGTTAATGCAGTGTAGCACCTCCAGCGGAAGACAAGTCCAGGTAATGATGTACGTATTTGTTTTTATATTTGGATAATAGGAACAAAGATTTTGAAATAGATTCCATGTTTTCTTGACAAATCTCAGAGAAAATCAGTGGATTTCACCTTAAAAACTCTAATTGCAGCTTACTACCACAAGCACAATTTTCGACTCTAGTGAAAATTTTACGCTAATAGCAAAACCAGAATTTGAAAGTAAAGATGAACTGCCTACTACATCAGTTTCTCAAGCTTCAAGATTTAGTGAAGAGTTAGTTGCAACCTTTTCTGGAATAGCAACGAAGATATCAAAATCTTTAGATCCTGATATAGCAGCAGTACCAATATCTCAAAATAATCTTAAAGCTGCTAGTGCTTCAGCAAGAGTACTTTTTTCGGTAGAAAAACCTTCAACATCACCCAAAACATTTTTAAAATCAATTGATGAAATACCGAAGATCGAACGCAAGGTTCAAAAACAAAAATCCAAGAAGAAAATAACCAAGGAGGATGAACCAGCATGTAAAAGTGTTGCGACGGAGACTATTCAGAGAAGTGTTGAGACGGAACAAAAACCGGCGCCTATAACGGATAGCCTCACATCTATGATGAATTGTTCAAAATGTGTCGCTGAAGGGAAAACATGCATTGGAGGATGTCCCAATGCAAAACGTAAGCAACAAAGAATGAATATAAATAAATGATTCAAGTTATTTAAGCTGTTTTTTTAAGTGAAAATACTGTAAATTTTTGGGAAAAATCACCCGCATCACCAACCATCAGACTCTTACTGATTAAAAACCACGTCGTTCCTTCTCCTGATCAGGGTCGGGGCCGCAGCACATTATAGCTATTGCTCCTGCAACCCTGACTGAAGTGTGTATGATGAAGTTACATTTTAGTTAAACGTTATTTCTTCCTTTTAATAAACATTCGAAAAGTACTATAAGCACTTTAATTTGGTAGTTGCAAGGTTTGGCACAAATGAAGCGACGACTTGACCGAAATGATATTACGGTCTTGCAGAAAACCAGCGTAACACGATGCTTGTGTTGTATTACGCTGGGTAAGTGAAGTTACCGGTGGCCAAATCCTCCTCATTCTCATTCCTTAAATCGCTTATCCCCAAATGTCTGAACCCTAAATTTACCAATGCTCTTGTAATTCCTCTGGCGTTGAAGTCTAAGGGCGGCGTCGTCTGCTTACCGCCAGGTGAACCGGCTCTGCTTGATTGCAGCCCTATTCCATAAAAAAGAGTATTGTCATCTTTCTGATTTAATATTATTATGCTTTCATTCCTGGAGTAATATGTAATAATGACAAAACAAATGCTGTTTTCTGTAGATGCTACAATATCAGAATAACTTTTCGTCTTCTTTAATCCTTTATTAAGTGTAACCTCTTTGCTATCAAATGTGTTAAAAACAAAATCAATGTCACAAAAGTTACAACTTTCTGTCAAAAAAGGTTTTTTTTTTATAAAATGTAGACTTTGTTATTCCATAATTTATTTTCGTACGAAATTACCGTGTTTTTAAAGGGAGTAATGGAAGAAGATATTAATATTAAAGTATGAGAGCGAAAACATATTGGAAAAGTGTGCGATGCCGAGTCGCTGTAACAATTTAGCACCCCGGCAGTCTGCTAGGCTAGGTGGTAAGTCTCTCGTTGTTTTTGTTGGTAGATTAGAAGTTCAGATTTTGCTGTATGCTTCTGATATTGCAAAAAACATTAAATCAGTAGTGAAAAAACAAACATTCAATGCATTTATAAGAGGACTAGCTATTCTCGTACAGTTTCACCCGCTGCTCGGCTTCATTTGATCGTAGCATGATGTTTTATAACCTATAGCACTCAGGAATATTGTAGCTATCAGTGAATGAATTTTGGCAAGCCAAATAGCGGTTCCGAAGATTACCCCCATACAAACTTACAAATTTTACCTCTTTATAATATTAGTATAGATAAGTCATAAAACTTAGGAATCTCATGGCACATTTAACTTCAGTCGGAAAAACCAGTTTCATCATGAGGTTTTATTTGTACTGAACAAATTATACTCATAATTATTGTTCTAAAATTGTGTTTCAGATCAAATATGTCTGGTAGAATGCGTAACCAAATTAGTGTTATTTATTACCGTCACAGTCATAATATTGGTGAGTTTTCATGCTTCAATTTAGTAATATGTGTGTGATCGCCACAAAAATTATTATATGTACAATGATATTTTCTCATTACAGTAAGATTTTGTCTTTATAGTTTTATTGTATTAACTAGCTTTTGCCCGCGACTTTGTTTGCGTGGAATAGTGACTTGATGCAGATTTTTGGTTTAAAAACTATCCTATGTCCTTTCTCGAGTTTCAAACTATGTCTGTACCAAAGTTCTACACAAATAGGTTCTGTAGTTTCGGCGTGAAGGAAAGACAGACAGATAAAGTTGCTTACGCATTTATAATTTTAGAATGGATTGTGTATTTGAGTGATCTAGCTTCGTTCTGTATTTGAAAGAAAAGAAAGAAAGACAAATCATTTATTCGGTACAACACCGGGCACAAACTATAGAATGCAAACAAAAATAACTGTGAATAAAAAAAGCACAAAATAGATGTAGGATATACAAAAAAATAAAGTTAAATGCACTAATAATAGTGTTGTGCCCGACAGCTGCACCAAAAAAGGTCCAGTTCAGCATAAATGCCAGACATCTAGTGATTTTCAATTGAACCTGTATTTTTTTTCAGTATATACCTCTAGGAAGATTCCACCTTAGCTGCGACCCCGAATGTTGCAGCCGTAACAATGACCCACCACCTCCAAAAGAGAAGCACAGTACAGCTATGTGTTGCCTCTGTGACATGTACAAGAGGGTGGCACAGTAAGCATAACTATTCACAGCAAAACTATTTAATTAATTACTTTTAAATCTTTTAGCATTCTAATTCCAATTCAATTTAATTTATTATTTTCTAGAATTTGTATTTGGTTTTATGCTTATGAATTTCAACCTTAGGAAGGTAGAAAAGCCAGGGTTGCGTGCTAGCGAAATAAGGTCTAAACGCGGCCTAAAGCAGGAGAAGGAACGGGACGTTTTTAGTCAGTAAGAGTCTAACACTCTCTCTTGCCTCACCCTCGGCAACAGAAGTCATCAAATCATTTTCCCCTCGCAAAAAAGGAAGAATTTCATAAATTTAAACCTATTTGAATGAAAGACGTTTCTTTCAAACTTGATCTCCATTTTTAATAAACTCTTCGCTAGGATTATGATCTTAAAAATACAAAATACTTTACTTTTTTGTAGAGTTGGACAAATGTCAATGGAAATGGTGGAACTGATACTATGCACTACTGTAAATATGATGTATGAAGTTAAGATGAAGGTACGCACTCATTTCTAGACCAAATTAAAATATATTATTTATATTTTACCATCGTTAGTTATATTAAGTTCACTTAGTTTGACGATTTACTCACCTAATTGTTCAATGAGGTTGTCCGACTAATTTCAAGCCTCGTCAGGGGCCTATATTCACGAGAAACAAGTGTGACAATTGATCCCAAAACTAAATTGATTCAGTCTAATAGTAATATTTTGTAGAGTATTTATTAAAATACCATCGTTAGCTTTGGGATATTTGAATAATATGACGAAATACTTGAAGAATGTAAATGTTACCAGGTTTATACATTTTAATTTAAAATTCACGATACATAACAGATGCCAGATAAGCAAAAATATGAAACGCCAAATAATGCTTATTGAAATTAAATTGCTCTTAACTCAATTCCATACAATGTGACTCAATCTTCAATAATGATGATTTTATTAAAGCCAACATAATAATTGTTGACAGTTCTATCAAATGTTGACCATGCTGGATAGGCGAGATCTGTGTCGGTCAGTCTGTTGCAAAGGCGTAAGTTGCAATTTATTTAAACATCATTACCATCATCCATATCAGCTTTAAGATATCCACTGCTTAGCCTTTCCCAGAATTTAGATTGGAACGATATTGCACCTACTGAATAGGGATTTGTCCAACATGGATGACTTAAATTTAATACCCTATTTGCTTAAAGACAAAAATGCTTTGTACATGATTCATAACAGAGTTGCATTGTAAACGAAAGTGCAGGTTTTTCTATAGCTTGCATCATGCATCGGGCACTTGATTGAAAAGATTAGAAATCCATATATCCAAACTTAGACCTTGCATATATTTAAGTCGTAAATGGTGGATTGATATTGTAAAAAATTCTACCACTTAATTTAGTTCATCGTTTTTAATATTCAGGATACTCCAAACTCAAACGTTAAACCCGAGAAACTAAGTGAGTGTTGCAAAGAAGAAAAGGTAACTTGTAAATGTGGCAAACAAGAAAAAGTAATTTGTAAATGTGACGAAAAAGAAAAAGTAATTTGTAAATGTGACGAAGAAAAAAAAGTGAAAGATAATAAAGTTATTTGTGAGTGTAGCAATGAGGAGCCGTGCCCGTGTTAAGGAGGTTGATCCAGGAGCCAAGAAACACAGTCAAAATTTTGATGTTCCTATTGCCGATTAAATGATTGCGATTTTTCTGTGTTTTTAATAAGTAACATTTACAATAGCCTAAGTGCATAAGTATGGGAAAGCCATGCTTCCGGACAGGAGTGATACCACGCGTCCCGTCCGCGGTCCGTGTCCATGGGCTGCGCTGATGGCTTACCATCAGGTAATTCGTAAGCTCGTGTTTGCCGACTTATCAAATAAAATAATAGCAACTAATCTGGTCTTGTAAGTATTATAGATTTACACTAAACACAAAAACATAGTAATCATATGAGCTGTGCAACGTAACTCGAAATTGTACGGTACTACTTAAAAATATTTTTCGAATTGTAAAATCCAGTTTCTTTACAAAAATATAGCCTATTCACAATTTGATATCGATAAAGTTTTACGATCTTTCATCATAAACTCCGTTATATTGGATTATAAGAGTTGTTATTTGCGTTCGGATTTATTTTGGGACCACTTAAATTGTAGACGGGCAGGCAATTCCACCATGAGGGATGTTAGGATTACAGCTATCCTTTGTTTTTGTATTTCTTTGTGCTTGGTGAGTTTTTGTATTATATTATCATGAAATGTATTTTATTTAACATTACCTTCTTACTTATATATAGATGAAGCTATGTAACTACGATTGTTTTATGTTGTAGTAAGTACCTACTAGTAGCTATGCTCAAAAATTGTAGAGATTTTCGGAAGTAATGGTAAAGAGTATTATATATTGAAAGTAATTTAATCGTTTAAAATTATGTTGTGACTGATAAATTATCTATAAAAGTTAACAGATGCAAAAGATATCGGCAAAGAAGACGTGGATAAAGTTATAGAAGATGAAATAACTCAGAAATTGAGCGATGACTTACTACAGAGCCTCGAGAGGAAATTCCAAGTGGACTTACAAAAGTAAGTTGAATGGATCGATTAGTTAGTTATTACACGATAAGATTTTGAATTATCCAGCAAAATATTACACAGAGGACATAAATAAGGTTGAGTTTGTTAAGGTGTTTTATTAAGCAATATTGATTAAAGAGGAAGACGTCTACACTGGACATTTTTATACATCTAACCATGACATTTATCATGGTTTACGTAGGTTGGCGACAAACCGTGTAAGTGAGCAGTAAAAAGAGAAAAATGATTTAAAGGTTTTTTTCGCCACATCTCATGGATTTTAATTTAATGACTAGGGCAGTGGACATGGTGTTACTGAAGATTAAGCTGTTATTGAAGAACGGGACGCTTCACATCCAGGACAGATTGAGTGAGCTTCAGGAAATGCTGGAAGTCATCAAGGGACACGGTGAAAAGGAGGTAAGGAGAAAACTAAATATTTAGCTAGGAGAAGGCCAAACATGTTGACTATAATTATTAGTAGCTTTTACTTTACTTGTTAAATATGTTTGTGAACTGGAATTTTAAACAGATATCCTCAAAGAATTAAGCCGACGTTTTGTATACAATGACCCTAATGGCAAAAGGTTGATTTGAAAAAGTATAAACTCAATTGACACGAAGGCAATGTGCCATTACAAGTACTGGATTTTTTTTTATAGAAACGATGCCGCTCACTAGAATTTTCTCCGGTGTCGTGGGTGCGGTTACAAACATATAATTTCACATGCACATGACACCCAAACGCTGAACAAAAATTTGTGGGTCACACAAAGAGTTGTTCCGTGCGGGAATCGAACCCACGACACGTTGCAAGGCAGCCAGTTGCCCAGCCACCGCACCGTGCAGTCAAGAATGACGCTTATCAAATGATATGATTGATGCAACAAAATATTTTAATTTCGATTCTGAAAACAATCTTAATACATATATGTGCTCGTAATACCTTTAACAAAACTGTTAATTTTTCAACAGTTGGACGTATGTCTAGAAAAGAAGCAGAATGAGACCTCAGCGTTAGCGGAGAAGGCTCTTCATCAGATGGTGGTCTGCGGGTACGCACTGATAGGCCACGACCCGGCTCAGGCCGTGCACAGTGTGTTAGCACTCAAGAACATGATCCATACAGGAATAAAACCGGTGAGACAACTCCAGACTCCAGTCTAACGCATCAACCTAGCTCTAGATGAAAAAGACAGGAAAAACATTCAAATAGGTCAAGAAGAGGTTAATATTATTATTACAACCGTTATAAACCAGACTGACGTAGTTGCTTTCAGAAAATAAGCTGATATTTTCGTTAAATCTTTTCAAACTTCACTGCCTACTGCGTCAAAAATATTTGCACTATTTTTTAATCTGTCGATCATAAACGGGTTTTATCATCAATCTCAATCAATCAATCAACAGCTCTCTAATCTTTTTCAACTCGTTCGACGATGATTAAATCACATATGAAAGGCTTACAGAGACTTTACAACATCAAAATAATAAATAGCACTAACAATCTATTAGCGGACCGCTAAAACATCAAAATCAATTCAGCCGTCCTGTCTGGAATCCCATTGGCGTAACTCCAACTACCCGAATATCGAAATGATTTTCGAAAATTCAGCTCACACGTTTAGGAATGTGGTATTTCCTTTGTTTATTTTTTTGTGAAAGCTAGCATTTGCGTTGCAAGAATTGCCTTTATTGCAAACAAAATATTTCTTCTTCATTCATAAACAACAGTGATGGATGGTGTTCACGTTCACCACAGTGTTCCACGCAAATAGTTTGAACTGGAATCTGGACTGTATTTCTTGGTATTTAGGAATAACAACAGTATAGTCTGCTTGTTATCTGGCGTCAAGATTTTCGGTCGTTACCTACTAATATTTAAATAGCCCAAAATAATCAATAACAAATTCCCGTCCTTTAAGAGAGTTGTAAGAGTAGTGCGTAGGTAGATTTCTCAGAATCCAACTTTCATGTACGCTAAGTGGATCATAATCGTAAGAGAGTAAACGTAAACACATTTCGAGAAAAAACATTTATTTACGAACCGTCAATTCTGAATTCATCATTACGGTTCACAAGATCAATAGCCTGAGCCAAATCCATTTTCTAGTAGAACATCAAAGGCGTTCCCAGGTGCATGACGAAAAATATTATTTCCAGATATATGATAAGAAGCACGAAGTTTATGGTCTTCTAAAGGTCTGCGGGCACGACCATGATACGCTGAAGAAGGTGATAAAATGCGTAATTTCAAAGGTGAGTTTTTACGACTCTTCGACTAAGTGTATGAGTCCAATGGGCCGTGTTATGGTATTTTAAAGTCAATTAAAAGTGTGTTTAGTGTTTCGTTTTATGGGAACGAAAGACCTTGGTCTTATTTCTATGGGTTTTGAGGGCAAATGAGCTACGCAATGATTTTAACGACTTAGCGGTTGTTATGGAAGTGAAGATGCACGGTGGTTATAATCGGGTCAAAGCTATGGATATATATTATACATTTTCTTAGTTTAGAAACCGCGCGTTTGATGCTAGTTTCTCGAGAAAAGGAGTAAGGATTACCTATTTATTATGTAGTTACAAAAAAGATTGAAACTTATCTACATAACATTTTATAAACATTTTATGAAATGTTTTTGTAATAACGAAACCAGTAGGCATGCTCATGTTGATTAACCCCTCTGTGGTTCGAAACTAGCACAGCTTTTTTCAGTAAATACACGTGTCACGTGAGTAACCCGCGATGTTTAGTTAATTTCATGAAATGACATGAAATTAAATACTCTAGGAGGGAAAGCTAGCGTACATAAATCCCACAGACAACTGCAAACTTCGACAGACGAATATTTGTTTTTGTATACGCATTCTCGAAGCAAGAGAAATTGCTAGCGTGGGGTTGCAATGAACTGGAAAGAATGTTTAGTGTTACAAGCTATCCCAACATCTAAATATCCTAAAAATTAATTTATGTTTTGAGATTTTGTTTGGAATAATTCAATTTAATTGAGTAGAAATGGATGTTTTTTGACCTGCGATGGAGCTAATAATAAGCAAACTATTCAGTCGGGCCTTGAAGACAGCCAGGTCTTATATCCTTCTTACTGTACAAATTGAAACATCTCTAACAGCACTATTTTATTTTTCTGTGTCTACTGTCGTTTGTGAGTTATGATGCACAATTTTTTTAACGAAAACGGTAATCGAATACGTATAACTATGCAGCAGCGGATTGTTTAACCATTTTGTAAATCGTGCATGCAACACTCACTATCTAATTAAAGCACTGCGCATAATAGTCTTAGGAAATGGATATAGCGAGATCAATTACGGAGTCACACAAATCCAGAACGGAACTGGCAAAAAATATTCGTAAACTTTGTAGAAAATGATTCACTTCCGGTCATGAAATAAAATATAATAATATTCAGTAAAATGCTGCGTGGAATGTTTTACGAGATTATTTCAGCTATGAAACTTTCAGTGCGCGAATTCTAATATCATTTTATTTGATACATTTTCGTAAGAAAAACTAAATGTTGAGAATTTAGTGAGCGTGTAGGAGTTGACGATGTCCAAGTCAAGTTTGAAAAAAGTCACTGCATTCGCAAGATTCGATGGAATTTGAAATTTTCTATGACAACAAAGGCTCAGGATAGGTCAATAAAAAGTACTCACTGAATACTATAATTAGTTGCTTCTTAATATAAAAAGTATTCCTTCCAACCGATGAGGTTTCCACTTATTGAAACTAGGTTTTATTTTCTCTATACACGGACATTAAATAAACGATATAATATTTGCCACATTGTAAATACTACTTACATTTGTTTGTTTTCAGTCACCAGTAATAAAATCAGCAATGATGGAAGTGACAGGAAAGCTGATTGATGGCGTTGTCAGCCTGACAAAACTCATGGCCCATGGAGCAATGCATGAAGCTTGCCTCATAGAGGTAATTAGAAATATCGAAGATGAAGCTTTCGCACTTGTCGAGGAAGTCAGAGTATGCGTGTACACAAACAGTACGTTTATGCAAGAAGTAAAAGATTACGTTAAAGAAAATAATGCTACAGTTCTCGATATAAAAAGAAAAGATAAAGCTGGAAAGGAAAAAATAGGCAAAAAGGACAATAGTGTAGATAAAGACAAAAACGCTCATGCTGATGACAAAGAACAGACAGAAAAGTCAAACAAAGAAGAAGATGTTAAACATATGAAGGAGATAATTAGAAGAATGTTAGCTGACAACAAAGCAAATAATATAGATTCTTCGTTTAAGACTAAACTAGCAAAGCTACAACAAGACTTAGCAGCTGTTGATGCTAATGAAATAGTCAAATTAGATAAGGTTGACTAGCAACAATAAAGTAACTTTAAATTAATAGTACTATGGTTTATTTTTTATTGAACGAAATGTAATTGTTGAGAACTTAAAAATAGTTGGTGTGATTTGCAAGGAATACGTTTTACGGTACGTTTTTATTTCGTCTTTAACCGATACTGGCGCATGGTCATGAGTAAAATTTATACCGAGATAAAAAATTTAATATCCAACCAAAATCTGTAGCAGACGTTTAAAAATAGTATACTTACGAAATCAGAGTGTTTACGATGGTTTTGCTAAGACAACGATATACCCAGTATCTGCATTATTTGTTTACTCGACCACGAATAAAACATCATGCACGCAGTCTCGGTTAGGATGCTATGATGTAACCTCAGATCATTATTTTGTATTTTATGCTTCGTTCTATAACATCGGTCGGAAGTATTATTGGGACCTATTTCAAAACTCCAGTGGCTTATTTATTCGTTTTTATTACTTGGCATCAATTTTGATTGGGAAAAAGTGAGTAAAACCATCAGTCGCTTAAACACAGGTGTTCTTTATTTGACCTTATTTTGATCTGGTTGTTTGAGGACTAAATGTAGCCTGGTATATTAGCATATAACATAAAAGATGTTTCCCAAATAGAATAAAAAAATATTAAGGATTAGTTGGTCTTCGTATTCCTTGTCAACTTGCTTTTTACTGTACGATCACTGATTGCAACGACGATACTGTAATCTATAATAATGGTTATGATGCCACTCCAAATGCAGTTGATGATCTTACATAGTAATATGTGGCTGACGTATATTTCATCATGGTGCTCTTATATTTATTTTGCCATATTGTGGAAGCGCTAAACCAATGACCTGAATTATATCAGTAGTCATCGTCACTCGTCGGGAACAGCAGACGAGATAAAACACGTGTTCTATTGAAAAATATTTATGGACACCACCATTTTAAAAACGATGGCCTTTAAGAGTAATTAGGCTACCTCGATGATTTGTCGCGGTTTGACTCAGAACAGGAGAAGTCAAAAAGAGTCTGAAGACTTCACGGAACACTAGTTGCGGTTATACTGAACGACTTACCGCCGTCAAAAAAAAATCTTCCAAAATTGAGGTTAATATAATTTAATATAATTATCATACATCAAATGGACAGCGTATTAATGTCGCATGTTATTACTTCCAATCCCAGAAACGACTTGTCATAAATGTTTGATTCGACGCTTTGATCATGTTTGACATAATTATCATTTGCATAATCATTTTCAGTAAGGTGAATGCCCTTTGCCTTTTTAATTACTAATCTCTGGCCACCTTCCAAATTTTAATGTGTGAACGCATGTTGAAGTGCTTCAGTTACGTGTGCGTGTCTTGTGGGTGATGTTCTCAAAAACTTGAGTGGTAACGTTTGTTTATGGAACGACTGACAGAGTATGAAATATCAGTGTTGCTATGTCTTTTATTTCGTTGGAATGAAAAGAGAGGTAATGCGCTTTTGTAATTGAGTTAATGTGTTGCATTGTGTTAAAATGGGATGGTGCTTTCTCAACTAGTTCGAAAAATTAGATGAAGAAATTTTAAAATGTTTACTAGTGTTCATTCGTATATGAGATTTAGCTGTAAAAGTTACAAAGCTTAATAAGAATGTTGGTGTAAAAAACATACAACATCCTAACTAATATTATATATGCGAATGTAACTCTGTCTGTCATATCTTCACGCCTAAACTACTGAACATATTTGTGTCAATTTGGTACGGACATAGTTTGAAACTCGAGAAAGGGCATAGGGTAGGATTTAAAGCAAAAATCTGCAGGAAGTCACTATTCCACGCGAACAAGGTCGCGGGTAAAGCAAGTATAACATAGTTTTTGAAAATTTCTACCTCATTTGCCTAATTTCATCTCAACTGACTCATGATCAGTTTCACTATATTCCTTTATTAGTTACATAGTATTCGAAGATTGGTTTCGTTTCAAATTTTCCATTCCTTTTCTGTTTGAAACTATAAATAGTTTGCCTATAATAATTTCCCATTTCCTCGATATTCGAGAGGAATTATTTCGTGGAATAGTTGTAAAAGATATTAAAAAGAGTTTAATGTTGTTGTTAGAATTGTAAATGTCATCCATAAGTTAGTACGGCGCTATATAGAGCTGTCATCGACCACCTATGAATGCGATGAAAATGTAAAGAATTAACCGCATTATTATAAAATATATTGGATCTGCTTTTTAATACTTTTTCGTTGGGCAATTGTTTGGGTGTGATGAGGAGAAAAATTGGTGTTTTATAGTGATAAGGATGCTAGAATTGGGTCAAGCAAGTGTCAAAGTTTCGCCAAAGGTCGGGTCGGCTCGATCGAAGTGATACCACGGCCTCACAGAAAACCGGCGTGAAACATCCACAGCGTCGTGTTTCGCCGTGTCAGTGAGGTTACCTCCCCAATCCCTAAATCTCCAAATCCCTAATCAACTAGAGGTCGGTAACGCACTCGTATTCCTCCGTTGTTACGGGTGTCGATGGGCGGCGCTGATTGCTTAACATCAGGTAATCCGGAGGCTCGTCTGCCGTCCAATCACATAAAAAAAATTGCATAGTCAATTCATCTTATGTAGTTCAATTTTCTATAATAATGTTGGATTTTATATGTCTAGTTCATAGGTCCAAACTTCATACTACTCCTGAAAACTAAAACAAGCCAATGGTGGTATGTGGACAATCTGGAAATCAATTTTAGGGTCCAATAACCGAACGAAGCAATAATGTAATCTCGAGTAAACACTCACACTGCAGACTGCAGGCTCACGATGAGAGGAAATATTTTGGTAATAATTTCCTGGTAACATTTAGGATTATTTTAAATGAACTTCCTTCAATAAGATTATGGCTCCGTCGAAATTGCTCACTGCTGTTTACAAAACATTTATTTTGTTTATAGAAGGTGCACGTCATAAATCTTGTGTTTATGTAAAATTATTTGTCAGTAGCTTCGGCATTAGTTACTGGTAACTTGGCAGGAGTTTACGTCTCATTATCAAATTGAAGTATTTGAATGAATACATCTATTATTTCAATTTGCAAACAGTGTGTCGTTACTTACGTATTAAAATGGGATTTATTATTACCAAATTGTTATTAATATCTGTCACGCTGTTTCAATCTTACTAATACATATTATAAATGTGAAAGTAACGATGTTTGCTGGACAAATATGAATGAAATTTGGCACAGACATAGGATACACTCCGAAATTCCAAAATTTTGAATGAACAAAAAAGTCGAATGTACACTTTGGAGCGGGCGCCGGGGTTCGCTGACGAACGGACTGATAGACTTATTGTATTTAGATTCTTTAAATTCTTGATTTAGTTGGAATGAATGATTTTGACTATAAGTAATCAGTACTGTTAAAGAATGAAAACAAAAATTTGGTTATTAATTAAATAATTGCCACTTAAGACAGTATGAACAACAAACAAACGGTCCTTCTGATTGAGGGAAACTGAAATTTATCATCAGATCTTGCGAAAATCAGCGTACGAAGTCGCTCCTGGTAAATATTTTTCCTCAAACTTTTGCATCGCTAACATGAGATAATCTTATTACAATTTACCGCAAAATCTGAATCTTGTAAAGGGAATATATGTCAGGGACAGTAGTGACGTCAGGCGGGCAATAATATCGACAGATCTGTTAATGTTTGAGTAATTTCACCAAAATAACTTGCTAATACGATGGTTTGCGTATTGTGTGATATTTTGGCGAACCAGCGGCTATTTTGATGTTTTCGAATGTTATAAAATATATTACATGGGTTTCATAATAGTTGGTGAAAAGTGGTTGCTGGTCACTGTAATATTATTCATAAGATACCTAATAATATTTTTCATAAAAAGCGTATAAAGAACTACAATATAAATATGGCAGAGACTGGACATCAACTGCGCTCTGATCAACCTTAATACGTTGCATGTCCGAGTAGTCCGTGGGTACTTTGGATAAGGTCGTCGTAACGTCCATTTTTTTCGACCATCTAACGCATGGATGTAACAGCGTTTTTGAACTGGGATCTTCAACCAAGATAGGCGTATAGAGGATATGACAAAAACTTATCTAGAGAAGGCCTGTATACCAGCAGACTTTTAAATTCATTGTGCTTCTATCTAGTTTTCATATATTATTATATTTTTAATTTCTAATAGGAATATCAAAATGTATCTTAGCAAGGCATTTACATAAAACAAGTACTTACGTTTATCTTACTGAAGCTCCTAAATAAGAGCCCCTAGCACAGCTTGAAACTTGTCGAGGTATCTCGCCAACAAGTTACGTGAGTGAGCCGATAAATGAATTTAATAAAATTAATATTTCTCAAGAAGAATATAAAACGAAAATGCAAGTAGGTATACCTACCGGAACATTTGCAAGCAATTCGATTTTATTAATACAGTTTTTGCAATAAAACTTCATTTAATTACCAATGAAACGGAGAGTTTTATACTAATCATAAATTACTGCAAAATAAGTCTTTAAATTATTATACCTACGTTTCGCAATAAATCGGCATCAATGTAATAATAATAAGATTGCAATATGCAACGTGGTTATAAATGCAACTGACGACGAATTCAGAGTTGGCAGTAGTCTTAGTCAGTAAAATGTGAAGCGTTGCAAATATTGTTAACGTTCTGTCGTAAATTGAGGTGACTGCAGAATGAGCTGGTTTTTCGATCCTTGTTCTAACACACACATAGTGATAGACTTAATGGATGATTGGTGCAGTCTTTGTTACATAGATATGGTAGTGAAGGATAGCTATCAATTCAATTTTAAAAACTGTTTCATGTGTAGATTTGTTATTTTCTGGAGTAGTTATTTGATCCGAATAAGGATGTAAGGTATATTCATGTTATAATAGTAATCACAAGTAGACATATATCTCTAACAAATACCTACTTTTGATCAAGACAACATTTCGGGAATTAAGCTCAGATGCTGTCGTTAGTTCACTAAGATGTGTAAAAGAAAGGTGTTATCCACCATTTGGATTTCAGGGTCCTCGAGAAAGGTAAAAATGGATAATCTAGCCACTAACCTGCATCAGTGAAGAACGCAGAGTGTCTGTTGGGACTGGACGGGACAGAGGCTGACGCTGACGTCAGAAAAGCCCTCTTGACTTTAGTCCACTTGGAGGCCCGGGGAGGGCGATGCTGAGGAGGTCTGGCTCCCAGCTCCAAGGATCGCTGCTTGCGAAGAACAGGGTGGGAGGGTTCGGATTCTGGAAGAGAGAACACTTATCTAGTTCCCGATATTGATACCTCTGCGGGTCTGTTCGCAGGTTCTCATTATAAGTGGCTTTAAACTCAACTGAAGCTACTAAAGATGGGTGCAAGGTGCAAGTGGCAGATTGTCATTCGGTGAGGCAGACTATGGAGAGGAGAGGTCTTTTAATCAACAGTAGACGTCGTTTACCTGCTGTTGATGATGATTTATATAAGGTTGAGATATGGTTTAAGCTAACTATACTAGTGAACTGACCGACAGAGAATTCCATTTCAAATCCTTTCAAAAGTTGTTGAACATGGCATTGTGAATTTGAAAGCAGCATTTCGAGTGAAATTCTAACAAGAAATTTTCTAGGACGATTTTAGAAACAGCTATAGCTACATGTATACACGTTTGTATTAACTGGCACCCTTAAGGATATAAATTTCGAAGATTGTTACGAGAAATCTGTTCGTGCTCCAATAAATGGATTTGATGAATTGTAAAACTATCCATCAACAGACTGCCTAACTGATTTATGAGACTAAAGAGAACTATAGTTAACAATGTTTTGATTGCTGCACGTGCCGTGAACCAACACAAAGTCATACACATTGTATTGGTACAAATATAATCTGTTTACAACATAAGCTGTAACATTGACGATGCATACAAATCTATGGAAGTTAATTTTGAAATTGTAGATGATTGATACAATGTAAATGCACTAGATAGTGTAGAAAAAGAAATTGTTTGCAGTGTTTTAGACTTTGTTAGTTATGATACTGTTTCTACTATTTTTGAAGAAGTAAGTGATTATGGTGAATATTGTGTTCTTTTATTTAAAGAGACGCATTATTACTCATTAGTATTTTTAGAATTCAACCTACCATTGTGAGAATGCTTTAGTATTGTGTGGCATGTGAGGTGAAAATCTGGCATATTATTATTATCTTGTAGTATTTGACAGAAATTACTGACGTACTCTAGACGTGCCTTAGTTTTTTGTTAGCTGGTAATTTAAAAAAAACTATTATATTTAATTACTTTAGTTACACATTCTTTATCTTCCATGTTGCTAAAACTTACTGAGAGAAAAACGTAACTGCCTTACTTCTTGAAAATAATTGAAACATTTTTTGCATTTTTTGATGACGAAACGTTGCTAATATAATCTCCTGTGTTCTGGGATGTGCCAACACAACAACTTGTGTGTCAAAAAATTGTTCCTTGCAGAAGTGGTGCATAACAGCCGATCGCCAAGGAACTGTGGTCACCGTGCATTCAACACCATTAGTATCTAGTATCTACATTAGCATTAGATTCAAAACTAAACTCACCCAGTTCTTCGGAAGACGGGATAGTCAGGGTCAGAGCTGGAGGTGCATCACTGTCTCCTCCATCACTAAGAGACCTTCGTCTCTTGGGCACCACGTCAGGAGAACTCTTGGATCCTCTATTTGATGTGGTCTTCTTCTTCACGGATTCCTTGCGAGTTTGCTGGATGATATCCTTCATCTTACTCCAGGTTGTCTTGTGGAGTTTGTTCGGAGACGGTGATGTGGAACTGTCATCCTATTGGAATGAAGGCATTGGGTTATTAAATACGTTGTTTTTTAATATTGTATCCCTTTTTGTTTTTATTTTATGTTTTTTTTTATCGTGACATTTAAAATCTATAAAAGGCGTAATCAGAGATGTATTAATCAATCAATTTTCGCCATTTATTAGTTACATACTAAAACTAAAACTGCAAAACAGTAAACTTAAACTGAATTATTTAAACTTTAAAAAATATCTTTAATTAGTTTTTTATGTTACAACTATTTATTAAATAACGTTAGAATAAAAAATCAATCGATTAGTTTCTTTGTTTCATCATCATCATCATGAGCCATTTTCCATCCACTGCTGGATATAGGCCTCTCCAATTGCACACCGCTGAACTCGATGTTCAGCTCTTTTCATTCAACCACTGCCAGCCACTCTGCGGATGTTGTTAGTCCACCTAGCTGGAGGGCGCCCTACACTACATTTGCCGTGGACAAGACGTGGTCTCCACTACAGAAAACCTTTTCTCATTTAAAGAGAAATAATTTTGATTTATATAGTACAACCATAGGGATAGCAAAAAATTATCAGACCTTCATTCATAAATGTAACGATACACCCAATATTTGTTTTTTTTCATAATTCTAAAGAAATAAGTACCAATCAGCGCCGCCCATGGACACTCGCAAGACCAAAAGGAATTACGAGTGCGTTGCCGACCGTTGATGGATAAGCATTTTGGATATTTAATGATTGGGAAGGGATGTGGGGAGGCTAAGAGGTAGAGGTAACCTCCGGTGACCATAAGCAAACGCCAAAACCAAACGCTGTGGTTGTATCACGCCAGTTTTCGGTGAGGCCGTGGTATACATACTCCGGTCGATCCGATCCGTTCGTGCCAAGGCTCTCTCGCATTGTCACGCATGTCATCTTATTTTATGACGTATCGCTTCATCAATCGACAATTTAATCCAGCGATCATTTGATCACTTGCGTATGCACCTCCCACAGTCTATCTTTAGCACAATAATCATAGTAAATAATTTCGCTAGTCGTTTAGCAGACGGAATCGCGCGTGAATGAGTCTATTTACAATAACTATTTTTGAAAACGCTAATATGTAAGCAATAGCACAGAATATCAACTCCGGACCGACGTTTTGACACGCTGTTGTTATGTTCTTTATTGTTCTATAACAAATGAAAAATACACTTTCCCAGCACGAATGTTTGAATTTTACCTATATATAGGTAGGTACTTCTGGCAAAGCCGCTGGCAGAAGTTAATAGATACCTAATTAATTATGTGTAATCTTACAGAAGTAGTTTTCGTTGTTTTAATAATAAACAAAATGTTTGTTGGTTTTATATAATTTTTATAGTTAATCAGAACAATGTTTTGATTACCAATTAGCATGCCACGTATTTGGCAAGATTTTCGCAAAAGCCAGGAACGTATGCAAAATGCAATTAATAAAAAAAAGAAAATACGTAGTTATCGTGATTTCAGTATTTATGTATCCATTGTACTAAGGGTGACAAAAATGCATGGAGAGCTTAAGGTCGACTATTGACTGACAGGTTTTGCATAACGCTACCATTGATAACTAGATGGCGCTGCTTTTAAATGAAAATAACCCTTCAAAGCTTGAATACTTTACACTGCAGAGGCACACAATAAGGTTTTTAATGGTTAAAATAATAATTAAGAAACAACAATATATTTATATTCAAATACACATTAATTATGTTAATTTTCTTATTTCCGAGGACTTAATACAGCGCCATCTAAGTCAAGTCAAGCAAACCAACTAAAAGATGGCGTCAGTAATGAATAAAAGACATTAATAAAAGTTATAAACTAACCCGCATTTTCAATATCATAAAAAATGCGATCGGTAGCTCGGATGATTTTGAATGATAGAATAATGAAGTCGAAGGGCTCCGGTTCAATTCTGGGTTATCATTTTTCATTAAGTTCAGATTCTTTAACAATGTTTTTTTTATATTTTTTTTATATAAAATCAATATTATTAATATATAAATAAAATATTTGACGTTTAATATTTATAAAAGAATAAATATTTATATTATTTTAGAATTAAATTATATTAATAAATATATAAAAATAAGTTTTATAATATGTGCTAACTATTAATGTAAAAGTAACATTTTTTCTTACAGATTAAGACTAATACTAAGTTTAATTCTCATAAAGGTTAACAAATAAAACTATTTTAGTGACATTATAATTTCAGACATTTATTTCTTAAAACATAATATTTATTTCTTTCTTATATAGTGTAAACCCTGACCTAATAACTTTTCAGCTAACTGACACATTATTTAATTCACTTTTCATAAGATTAATAAGTATTTTAAGACAAAATTGTCAAAGTGCTAGTCATTTATTAGTTAGCTTTAAACACAATGTTATAATACGTTTCTATACAATATGCAACCTTACTTCTGTAACTATTTTACATCCCCATAAAATTTAATTAAAGTATTGACTAAAGTGATTCATTTTGTGCATCGTGTTATGACAAAGGCTCATAGCTTAAGAATTCGTTCCAGAACAAGGAAGAAATTGAAGCTAGACCTTAAATCAATAACATTTGTAAGACCGGGATATAGCAGTCATTAGATATGGGACGATTTGTTTATAGTAATAATAAATAAATAATTTATTATTTTGGAATAGCATCTGTAGATATTAATATTGCTTTTATTTTTATTTCTCATATTTAGTAAAACATTAAAATCATTACTGTAAATAACAGTTGCTGGTTATAAAGGAGTCAATAAATTTATTCTACTAACACTAAGTTTGAACATTTATCCATTAAATAAATTATAGCTACCCCGGTCTTGTAATTGCTTAATCCTATAGTCAACAATATCTTTTCTTCTAAGAACTAGTGTAGCCGCCATTTTTATCGATCCTATTTCTCCTATCTCGCTGGCCAAGGAATAATCCGTATGTCTGATTGCTGACTAAACACTTGCACAATTATGGAACATTACACATAGGACAATTGTCCTGCACGAACGTTATCACTAGCACATCTTCATGACGTCATTCAGCACATCTATGTAGTTTTCACTGTTTGCATCACTGAAGATGACAATGCTCCAGTAATTTTCCTCATAACCTTGTCCCATAAGTTGAAGCTGGTCTGAGTCAATATCAGGTCTTCTGCCAGATTCACTACGGTGCTCCAATGAACCCTCTTCTTGAAACAGCTTTAGATATCCATAAAGTGGCAGTCTTTACCTGTAAGGGACGTGTATTATTTATTATTTTCATGTATCGATAACCATGGATAATAAAATAAATAACGAACGGTCATTTTAAAAGAATACTTACGTTTAAGCCAGTTTCGCTCGATTTCAGTATAATTTAAGCTTTGATTATGCAATGTTATTATTTGGGCCCTCGTAGCCATATCAATATTTGGACGCAAACTCATAATAAAAATAAATATTAAAAACTTGTTTAACAAATCGTAACTGAACTCACTCAAAGATAGTAAAGAATGTTATGATTGAACGTTTGTTCTGTATTCTGAGGATTGAACAAAAAGGTTTAATTTTTATACAGTTAATATTAAATTACCCTCAACTGTTTTGAGATTTATGATCGTGTTATAGTTGCTAAACAACTTCAATATAATAAAGAGTAGGATAATTTCAATCGATTTCAAGGTTACGCAATGGCCTAATGGCTAGTGGCATCGGTAAATTTTATGCTACCGAGTTCGAATCCTGGCTATTGCGTGCTTTGCTTTAAAAAGGTTTGGAATATCGTAGGATTAATTTGTGTAAAAATTTATTAAGTTAATAACTTTGTATCTGATAAAAACTATAAATGTATATTTTTCAATACCACTAGTATACTAGCGCCATCTATGTCGTCCATGGTATATTTAATTAAGGCGATGAAACGCCGTACAAACGATTTTGATTTGGAATCCTCCATGCACTTATGACACTGATAGTACCTATATTGTGCCAAAACAGAAACAATAGTACCTACCTAGTTAGTAACGGTTTTAAAAACACAACAATTTTTTTTTTTTCTATGAACAAATGTTAGGAACCTATTATTCAAACAGTTATTCACAAATGTTATGTTAAAATTTGCAAGGTTTTTCCTAAATCCCAAAATTATTGAGTTTCGAGTTTATTTTTATTGTTTTTTTCCAGCATAATTATCAAGTTTGGCAAAATAAAGACCGGCAGACAGAGTGAGAGTGAGAGTGAGAGAGAAAGGGAAAGGGACAGATAGAGGGAGAGAACAGCAAAAAGAAAAAGTTGGAATACTACTATTATTCTATAAAGTGGCATTGATATAAAACGTTGATTCTGACCTGCGTAGGAGCTTGCAGGAATGTGTTGTCGCCATCCTCCCGCACACTCTTGCGCATACCTGGAACAAATGATTCGCCATTGTGAATATTTTCTCGAATACATTACAAACAATGTTGAAATCATTTTTGTTTTGTAGTGCAATCTTTAAATTCCTCAAAACATGCTCACACACTTGGATTTTTCTATTTAACAAATACTAGCTAGTCTCGCGCGGTTTCACCCGCTGCTCGACTCCATTTGATCGTAGCGTGATGTTTTATAGCCTATAGCACTCAAGAAAATTTTAGCTATCAGAGAAAGAATTTTGGCTATCCGACTAGCGGTTCTGAAGATTACCCCCTACATACAAACATACAAACTTACAAATTTTATCACTTTATAATATTAGTATAGATTACAACAATATCTTTTTTTAATGGAATAGGATGTACATGGATCATCTGATGTTAAGTGATTAGCGCCACCTATGGACACCTGCAGCACCAGAGAAGACAGAAATGTGTTACCGGTTTTTTAAAAAGGAGTACGCCCGTTTCTTTAAAGTTTGAAGGTCGTATCGGTTCGGCAATACCGCCGCCGAAAATTTTTCTCTGCGACGCAAGAAAATCTATTCGTATTTTTTTTATTTTTTATGACGGTAAAATCATCAAGTGACTTCCCCCGCCAAGGGTCGGGTGGGAGTAAGTGTCAGACTCTTACTAACTGAAAACCTCCCGTTTCTTCTCCTGCTCTGGGCCGAGGTTGCGGTGCCACATTGCGAAACCCTACCCCTCAAAAGACTAGTAACGTATTTGTAACTCCTCCATGTTGTGTCCATGGGCCGTGCCAACTGCTTACCGTCTAGTGATCCATCCACCGATAGCTTCCCATAAAAACAAGTAACGAAACTCATTAATGATGCACTCTGCTGTTGTGGTAATTTTGTTTTTCATCGAAACTTTCGAGAATTGTTTTGATGATTAAATTTTATGCGATTTCTTAGAGGAATGTAGGAATCATCGCTTTTATTACGTTTATAGATATACTCAGAAATTCGGAAACAACGTCGTTGTAAGATTTTACTTACAAATAATAACATGTTTTTAGATCATAGCAAATAACACATCATAGTTTAATTAATATTGTTCTACACTTTCTGACTGCATACTGACGCAAACTAGCACTTTCAATTCCCGCACGGAAAAAATCTTTGTGTGATCCATAAATTATTGGTCCGGGTGTAATGTGCCATGCGAAATTGTATGGTTGTAAGAGAACCTACGACACTGGAGCAAATCCTAGTGTGGAACAACATTCAAAAAGTAAACAATAGTATGAATTGAACAAAGAGTTCAGATAGCTCTCAGATAGGGCTCACTTGGGCTGATTCCAGGTGAGTGGATGCAAGGATAATCATTTAGCAACCTGGCTGATCAGAAGAAGGAGTGAAGGAGAAAAGCCACCCGGTTTTTAGTCAGTAAGAGTCTGACACTTCCCCTTGCCTCACTAAGAGTGGCAGAAGGCCTTTATAATTTCACGTTAAGATGAGAACCTCAAAAATACCACAAGCAGAATCAGAGATTAGCGATTAAGTTTGGTTATCAATTTCAGGCGTTGCTTGTAATTTCTATTATACTTGTAAAGTTCTAAATATGTTGTCCTTGAGGTTCACTTCTTTTTCGTACTTTTTGCCTAAACATTAGTGTTACATTGTTCTCACATATCAAAACCGACTAAATGATGTAACAAAGAAATGTATTGTAAAACTGATTGAAAAAGAGTAACCATGGAGTTTCTTGCTCGTTCTTCTCCATAGGAATCTACACTTTGGAACGAGCAAATAGCTTCACTAGAGGACAGACGGACAGACTGACACGCTTAATTTTAAAGCTCATGTTACCTATATACTTTTTTCCTTTTTTGCTTGCTTGACGTTCAAAAGTGCCTACTGTGGTCTAATTGAAATAAATGATTTTTGACTTTTTTTTTAAAGTCGATCTGAAAGATTTATAACTACATAGTATAAAACAAAGTAGCTTTCTTTGTCCCTATATCCCTATGTAAGTATGCTTAAATCTTTAAAACTACAGAACGGATTTTGATAGTTCTTTTTTACAGAAATAAGGTTTATAATTATGTGTAGTAACGTCAATTAGTGGAGAAATTTAGTATTTGTTAGCATTGCACTCGTACAAAGCTGGGGCCGGCCGCTAGTAGAAACTACAATAAAACAGCCATATTCTGTAATCCATCGGCGAAATAGAACGTGCATTTCATCGCCTCGCAACACATAGTTTATGTAAACTCGATCAAAGAGGGTAACAGGACCAAGCGAGTGGCGAGTATGGAGTGACTCACATTGACAGAATAAGGCCATCCATTTACAGAACACGCAAAGTTTGTGGATTTTGGATTTAAAATACCATCATGTTTTGTTTAGATATTTCCGTGTATTGAAAAGGAAATTATTTGTTTGTCTGTCTATCTGTCTGTCTGTCTGTCGTGGAAGCGTAATGTTTGTTTTCGTTAAGGTTATAAAGTTGGGATGCTGTTGATAGGTTTTTGGGTTTCGTAATCTTTGTTGTTTAACATAATGTGTTTGATAATGAATTATATTTTAACTGGGTATGAGAAATTGCCACCTACCTGCCCTACTAATCCACAAGTGGATCTTAGTGTTCTCTGTGACGTCATCCTATCATGTTTTTATCGTGTTTTTATCGCTCAAATCCATAAATACCTATCTGTGCTCTAAACCCTAAGAAGACACTGGTGTCCTCTCTCACTCTCTCCAAAAAAGATCCTAATACCGATTTTAGAGATATAAATATTGATTTTATGACGATTTATTTAAGTTAGGTACTTATAGATTTTGAGGTTCTTTTATGCTTGGTGTCACCACCAAGGCACTACACATTTTGCTCATTAATTGAGTAACTTGAGATCCTTAATATAGTGGTGGTTGCATGTGTGTGAGTGAGTAAAGTAATATAAATATTTCGAAAACGCACTTAATGTTTTTCGACGGATTAAGACTTAATATTCGATTCTTAAGTTTAATTAAAATCCTGGATTTTGGACTTGAAAGAATGTATAGAAACTTATGCCTCTTGAAAGAAAAGAAACACATATATTATGTACTTATAATAAGTAAGTACTGATGTCAGTTTGTATGTAATTCGTAACCTGAGAACAAAACTCCGGTCCGCACTTCACGAGTCGTGTGTTAACAAGACATGCAGATGTCACATCTCAAAAGAAAGTGACGCGCGCGAATAATTTTGTAACAATTTTGTCGACAGGCAACATCAGTATTAAAATGTTATATTACAACTCTGAGTAACAACATTACTACATAATTTGTTATTTACTAAAAGTTGGAAAATGTACACAAGATAATAATATGTAAGTATAATTTACTAGCTTTTGCCCGCGACTTTGTTCGCGTGGAGTAGTGACTTCCTGCGGATTTTTGGTTTAAAAACTATTCTATGTGCTTTCTCGAGTTCCAAACTATGTTTGTACCAACACAAAAATAGGTTCAGTAGTTTAGGCGTGCAGAAAAGACCGACAGACAGACAGAGTTACTTTCGCATTTATAATATTAGTTTGGATTATTAATTGTTCTTTTGGATATCTAAATCACTACATAGTATAAAAAAGTCGTTTTCTCTTTGTGTATATAGTATGTATGCTTAAATCATTAAAAATACGCAACGAATTTCGATGTGGTTTTTTAATACTTAGATAGAGAGATTGAAATGGAAGGTTTATATGTAGGTACCTATAATAACATCCATTAAATCGTGGACAAATTTAGAATTGCTAATTTAGGGTCGCTAGTAAGTAGATATTTTCAAAAGCTCGCCTGATGGTTAGCAATGATGCGATCTAGGTTGGAGCACATTTATCATTATCAACCTATTTAGTCGGACCTTGAAGACACTCTAACACATGCACCGATGTACAGGGTTTGAATGTGCGACGACGGTTGCGTGCCACCAGGGATGACAAAAATACAATCCGAGAATGCCAAAACATTACCTACATTTTGGTTAATATAACATTATAATACATACAAGTTTATTAATAGGTATTCTTACAATTTTACACACAAAAGTTTTGTTCAACCTTCATCCATATGCATACTACAAAATACTTCGGTTTTATGCGCAGGAGTGCATTGTAAATCAAACGTTATAGCCAACTGAGTGACTTTTCAGGATACGTTATAAAATTGAACAAAGGACTTTTATGACCTTGATCTTAAGATAATAATTGAAAATTGAGTTTGAAAAAGGGTTGGAAAAATAACAGATTTGTGTTTCACCGAGTAAGTGAGGCTCAATCCTTCCCCTATTCCTCCTCAATCCTTAATTCTCCGTAACCCTAATCCCCGGGCCGGTAACGCACTCGAAACACGTCTAGTATTGCATGTGTCCATTTGCGGCGCCAATTGCTTTCCATCACGTAATCCGTCTGCCCAGAGCAGGAGAAGGAACAGGGGGGTTTTTAGTCAGTAAGAGTCTGACACTCCCTCCCGCCCGGCCCTGGGCGGGAGAAGTCATTTGATGATTTTCACACCACAAAAAAACACATAATTCGTCTGCTCGTTTACTGACTTATCTCATATAAATAAAATTAAACTTCTTACAAACTCACCAGAATCAACCCTCAGCTCTTCACACGAAGAGTTAGGAGTCAGGGACAGCGCGCTTCCAGGAGTCAAACTGGCGGAGTCTCGGGGCTCAGGGTTGGCAAGAGTGGCTGATGATGGAGAGGATCCTGCCAAGGCCACAGCTCCCACCATGGCTCCAGCAGCCACAGCGCCTGCAGCACCACCCATGGCTGATTGGGGCCATTGGGCTTTTTCCCATCTGCGAAGAAAATGTGGGTTTTAGACCTCGATCCATTTTCTTTTATGTATAGTAAAAGGAGAAGTAGGTATGTATGTAGTACGATATTCACGATATAACTTAGTTAATAAAATATAACGTAAATATGAATGCAGCAATTACGAACATCGTACGCGCAGTTTCTGAAGGTAATTTAAACTTTCGTGTGTTTTAGACGTGTATCCACGCGAGACACAATGTATTTTCTATTTACAAACATTCAACTGGTACACCATAATATGAAGAAAAACCAGAGGAATGATTTTTTAATAATTTATTTGCAATATAACTATTATTGTTCTTTTTTAATTTATAAACTTTTTTAATTTATGAATCCAAGTGAGGGAAAACGATGCTTCGGCACGAATAGGGATGTCTCCTGGTTTAAAACAACAAGATTCTAATTAGTCCGTTAGTTAGATTATAGAAATATACTCGAATCGTATTTTTTTACTTGTCCATACGAATAATATTGACGAGGATACAGCACATTCAAATTCAGGAGCAGGGGCTCGTGACGTCACTCTTTCGTAAAAAAATTACGAAATAATGACGTAGCGTGAATTTTCGCCGCTCTGTAATTTTGTTATTTTAAGTTTTAGAAGAAAAAGAAAAAATACGTATCTAGGTACTATTTTCTGGCGTTCTAAAAGATGGACTTATTATTATTTTTTAGTCGTCATCCCTATTGGCCTGTTCGATTGGAATGATACCGGACCTTATAAAAATCGGGCGCGAAATAACATTAACGTTGTGTTTCGTCATAATAATGAATCACGTTACCAGAGGCTTCTTCCATTCTCAACCCATAAATCCAATAAACTTACACAAAAAAGTATGATTGTTACACTTTATCTATTCAATAGATCTTTTCGAAATGTTATTAACATAATAATATATGTCTTTGAGTATTGTATGGGGTTAACCAGGGTTGCGGTTCAAGAGCAATAAGGTACGCTGGCCTAAAGTAGGATAAAGGAACTGAGGATATTTAGACAGTAAGAGTCTGCGGTCGGCGAGTAAGGGTAGCTCGCTGCCCGACCAGAACCAGGCCCGAGCGTACGGCGCGTGCGTTCCGCGCGCGCCTCTAAGAGCCAATAGACCACCACAGACGGGGCCCTATAGGGCTGATGTTCAGCCGGGGTTGCGGGGTAAGCGCAATGAGGCACCGCGACCTCGGCCCAGAGCAGGAGAAGGAACGGGAGCGTTTTTAGTCAGTAAGAGTCTGACACCTGTGGGCGGGTGAAGACATTAATGATTTTCACCTCACAAAAAAAAGAGTCTGACACTCCCTCTTGCTTCACCCTGGGCGAGTGAAATCATTTGGTTATTTTCCCTCTTCAAGTAAAAGGTACTTGTATCGGCAAAAAGTGGTTAAAAGCTATTTTTTATGAGATTTCAAACGTTCAGGAGCCAGACAAGTCATCTTTTAACTCAATACCATGATAGACAGGTGTTTATGTGTTAACTCGAACTCATCTCAGACACGTCAACTAGGTAATCAACAATGCTGCATTAGCAATTAGCCATCTATTACTAGAAACTTTGTTTAACAACAATAGAACAAGGTTAATTAACCCCCATATTGATTTTTGTTTGATTGATTTTTCAATAAACCGGGTATATTTATATATTTTATTCGTGTAGAACATATAGGTAGATTATAAAGGAAAAATACAATAAATACAAAGATACATGTGTGGTGCACATTCCATTTGGAATCTCTTCCTGCAATCCTGCGAGAGAATAGTTGAACAAAAACAAAAGACACAGGATTTTTTATCGTTTGGTATCCAAAGACAGGACTAACCTAGATTGGGATCAATAATCTAATTAACACAATTAGAAAACGACTGAACAATGAAAAGGTATTGTGTTCATTTTATTTTTATATTGCCTCGAATAAGTTCTTTATTGATATTGATTCGGATTTTATATGGAGGAATAGACATAGTCAGCCATCAAAATGGCATTTTCGACGTAACACGTGTATTTTCGGGTTGGGGCGGGACTCATATTTTACTGCTTTGGAGGTGTTTCTCGCGCAATCTATTTGGTTTATAAAAACATGTTATAAACTTTAATCTCATTTTAAGACTTATTTATAGATAGGATGTTAGTTTCAGATGTATCTATAAGCGTTCCGTTTTATTATTTTCTTTCTTGTTTGTATACGGAACCCCAAATACTAGCAATAAGCGATAATAATAAGCGTCTTCTTATCATCATCAGCCTATAAGTGCCCACTGCTGAGCTAAGGCCTCTTCTCATACAGAGAAAGTTAGAGCATTAATCACCATGCTTGCTCAATGCGGGTTGGCGATTTCAAACTTATAATTAGAAATTATAAGTCCAGGGTTCCTCACGATGTTTACCTTTACCGTATGTCAGTGGTGTCTAAATAATCATAGAAAGTACATATAACTCGGAAAAAGTCACATTGGTACTTGCCAGGTTTCGAACCCACACCCTCAAGCATGAGAAGCGGGCGCCTTAACGTCCGGGCCACCACGACATAAGCGTCTCCTATTTCTGTACAATTTGTTGTTTTTTTTATAAACATAAGTTGTGTTTTATGTTTACTAAAGCGGCAAACGAGGTAGCAACGTACGAAAAACTATTTCTAAAAGCAAAAACCGGATTTCTGTTATTCCACTATACTGAGGTGCGGCTTTCTGGGGGTATCCATTAAAACCTGCGACGGACCACTGAACACACCTTCACAACATAGTGTAATACAAAGTCACCTTCTCTGTTCCTATCCATTCTGTCTTCATGCATCAATGCATATTTTTGAAACTACGCTACGGATATTGATGCGGGTTTTTATAGATATAATGATTGAATTCATCAGACTCCAAGCGAACGCTCACCTATCTATTGTCCTACTATTGTGTCTCTTATAACCACAATTGTAAGGTTAAATAGTAGAGAAATTAACTATAACCATTGCACCCGTGCGAAGCCAGGGCACGTCTAGTTCTAGTTAAATATATGACTGCACGGTTGGCGCGGTGGCTGGGCAACTGCCTGCCACGCAACGTGAAGCGTCTTCGATTCCCGCACCGAAGAAATCTTTGTGTGAACTACAAATTGTTCCGGGTATGGTTTTGTTGTGTATGTGAAAGTGTACATATGTTTATAAACGTACCCACGACACAGGAGAAAATCCTAGTATGGGGCAACGTTTTTTTTTAATAATTGTATGGTTTGGAGCGAACAAAAGTGATGTTTCAATTCGCCATTAAAATTTGCAAAATGTGGAGGTCAAACTAACAAGTAGTCCGGAATTCCCCCCAAGGGCGGTTTAGAATAATAATTCCGGCACCATGTCGTATCCCGAATTATCATTCGCTTGTTGTCTCCGACCAGGTCGCAGGCCGACCACCAATTTTGACCAGCTTGGTGGCTACTGGTGTAACCCTTGAGGTGAAGGACCCCCGAGAAATTGTTGGCGATTTTATCATGTATACTTATTGATGAAAAAACTTTAATTGCGTGATGTAGGAATTATGTATTACCCACATTTCTTGCTTATTTCTAAATATGAGTAACACAAGTATGTGGTTTATATTAATTATTAAGTTTTTAAAAGTAGTTCATAAGTTTTGAAACGATTATTAATTATAGGTACATTTTATCACGATTGATCTAGCCGTTCTTGAGTTTATATGTTTCGCTATTCACTTTGAGGCGTATTGAATCAAAAGTATTTGCTAGATAAATCTAAAAAAGGGAAAAAAAGAATACTAATCCCGTAAAATAACTAAGTACTAATAAGCATTTTATAGTTCTGTAAGCAATACAGAAAAAATGGGCAATATTATGAAATACATAGAGAAAATAAATACACACAGAATAATTATTAAGTTACCTTCAACGTGAAACAAAATTAATAATCAACGCTTAACTTTAATGTAGGTATGTCTTTTAGCATAAAACCATATAACGACTTCTCTTTCTTTCACGTTGGGTGGAGCGAGAGAGAGAAGAAGAAGTGGTTTTTAGTCAGTAAGACAGTAAGACATACTGTCTTACTGACTAAAAACCACTTCTTTTCTTCTTAACCAACTACGGTAAAGCAAAAGGATGATTATGATTTTGACATGCTATGTAAGTATGTATGTATGTTCATCTGTTCCCTTGTAACTTTTAAACTACTTATCAGAATTCGACAAATGACATATCATTAGAATCGTCTTCATTGTCCGCTAGTTATAGGCTATATGGGGTATAACTAAATCTAATGTGGCGTCCTCTAGCGGATAAAACATTCAGAGTAAAAAAATAAAGTTAAAATAAATATGTCGTGTTTGGTATTAATTGAAAGCGCTTTACTTAAAATATTTATCCAACCGGTTGAAATTGAAATTTTAGAACTTTGATATCATGGTAATGACATAAGTATCGAAAAGATATAAAAAGTCGCTATTAAAATCACAGATCTTGTTCGAAATCTATACAAATAAATAAAATTGGAGTGTCTGTTTGTAATATTAAAATAACTGCTTCCTACTACATGCATATGAATGTATATACGGTACACATACTAAAATATATTTTTTTACAATTTTTGTCTGTCTGTCTGTCTGTCTGTCTGTTTGTTCCGGCTAATCTCTGGAACGCCTGGACCGATTTGGACGGGACTTCCACTGGCAGATAGCTTATGTAATAAAGAGTAACTTAGGCAACTTTTATTTTAGAAAAAAATCTTTTATTTTAGAACATTTTAGAACAAATAAATAAAATTGGAGTGTCTGTTTGTAATATTAAAATAACTGCTTCCTACTACATGCATATGAATGTATATACGGTACACATACTAAAATATATTTTTTTACAATTTTTGTCTGTCTGTCTGTTTGTTCCGGCTAATCTCTGGAAAGCCTGGACCGATTTGGACGGAACTTCCACTGGCAGATAGCTTATTTAATAAGGAGTAACTTAGGCTACTTTTATTTTAGAAAAAAATCTTTTATTTT